GCAACCACACCCGTGCTGGTCTGCAAGCAACCGCCCCAGGATCTCTGCTCAGCGGCCCCTCTCCCCTCCCCACAAAGGGGCAGCTCTGGTTGGTGGGGGCCCGGAGCCTCTGCCCCCGTGACCAGAGTGCAGGCCGGCCGGGCTCGAAAGCAGGAAGCAGGCTCTCTCCCTTCCCAAGCTCAGGCACAGAGGCTGTTCTTACACCAGGGTAAAGACTGCTTGGGGAGCCCCCCGCCTCCATGGAGCCAGAGAGGGGAGGCATTCTCCAGCTTTGGACGTGAAAAGAGATATTTAAAAGCCCCAATCTGGCTTCAGGCAACGTCAGTAACTTCTGTCACTTTGGACAGTGCAGCTGACCCCTGAGTGCCCATGTGACTCAGTTCATGTTCCATCAGCCAGAACCTTGGAGAGAAGGGTGATGAGCACCCCAAACCCCAATCCCCAAGGGTGCGGATGCTTTAAGCACACAAGATGATGGCAGATAATGTCCACACAGAGGTCTTATGGCACTTCAAAGAGAGAAAATCAGGACGATGGAGTCGGGGTAGTGCCTTCGCCAGCTAAATTCAAGAGTCTTCCTTTCCAAGTCAGTGCCACGTTTATCTTATGAGACGGCTTACTGAAGGCCTTCCACCCTGGGTGCAAGAATCTGCAACAGTTCATTCGCAGCCAGAGTCGATGGAAACATGTGATCAGAACTTTCCAGTTGCTGTATTTTGTGGAAGGCAGTGTTAACAATGATTTGGAGGGTGACCGACCATGCTCAAGAGTTGGAAGAACCAAGTTGACAAATGCAATATAAAACACAAATACCTCTGTTATAAACCCCAATCCAACATCATTTCACCAGCTCCCATTTCCCATCACATAATGTTCGTGTTCATTTGAGTCTTATTAGTGTTACAGGTTTAGCTGCAATTAATTTTAAACGCATTTTGGTTTATTATTGTATAAGGGCTATGGTTTTATGTTGGTACATATTCACACAAAATTATGTAAAAATAATTTAGTTTGCTGCAACGTTCTGAAGACGACTATATCATTTGGAGAAAAAAAAAATACCGCGTGGGGTTTGTCCACTTTGCACCCCCTCTCGTCCTAAGAAACGCATCGGTTCACAAACCATAAACCGAGTTCTGTGCAAAGTCATATGAGAACGATTTTACTGTAGAAGCTGTGATCTCTGTTATCATCATCCTTTGTGCACTGCATGAAAGCGAGAACACAAACTTTTGTCCAGAACCAAGTCTCTCTCAATAAATCAGAGGTTAACCACCTCACTCAATTAGCAAGCGCCGTTTATTTTTTAGCATATCCCTGAAATATGAATCAAGACGACAAGGAACAAAAACAAAACTATCAAGCCACTCTGGAAGGAAAAAGACGAAGTTCCCAAGTGAATGTGTTACTTGAAAACCATATAAACCATTTCTTCTTAGCTTGGCTCCGTCATCCATCTCGGGAAAGGATGTTTTTATAATCAGAGCAGAAATATGACTGGCGCTCGGACATTTACATTTCTTTGTTGCAAAATGAATGTAACTTGTTCAGATTCCAGCAGCAGAGAAAGCAGCAGAAGTAGTGGTTACTTTCCAAAGTGAAACTTAAAACCACAATCTCCAGAGCACAAAAGGCAGAATGAGTCACCGGAAGAGGCCACTTGCTTGCAAAACTCATTAAAGGCAATGCAGGGCTGAATGGACTTCCTGTGCCAGGGAAAAGCTAGCTGGCATCAGGACAGCCCTTCCAGGCTCCCACAATTTGGGGGAGGAAGGGAGCCACCAGGAATCTGGGCACAGCCCAGGTCTGCCGTTCACACGCACCCAGCTGCCCGGCCCGGTCGGCGGGCGGAGTCCCCTCCCCGCCGCCAGCCCAAGGAGATGCCGGGAAGGGGGCTAAGGCTGGCAGCTGTGCATCAGAGGGTTCCCACGGCACCCCGTGACTCAATCGAGCCCCCGCAGTGGGTTTCCAGGGGCCTCCTCCTGCAGCAGCTCCTTTCTGTCCCTCTGGCCCGGCCAGGTTAGTACAGTGCCCAGGCAGCCCCTGGGAACAGAGTGTGGGCCTCCACTGTGTCATCTGGAACCTGAGCATGCATCAGAATCCTGGGGAGGACATACCAGCTCGGGTCATGGGTCTGGGGTCGGGCCCAAGAACTTGCATTTCTAACAAGCTTCCGGTCGGTGCTGGAGCTGCAGGCTCTGAGACCCACAGATCTAAGTGGTTCTTCGACCTGAACAGCCATCACCCACAAACTGTTCCCTCCTCCGAGCTGGTTAGTGATGTCTGGCCGTGCGCTGTGCCTACTGGAGGCACTTTGGCGCCCAAACAGTCCCCGTAGGGCACTCCTCCCCCTCCCCACCAGCGCTCAACACACCTGGCTGGTCTCCAAGACAAGCACTATGGGGAGGGGCCTTTGTCAAGCCCGGATAATGTTTTTAAAAAAAGGCTGTTGCCTCCACACCAAAACTGATTGTGCCCCCAGGTGGCCATTTGGGGCCTGCTGGCTCCCAGGGGCCACTTCGATCAGGTCATGTTCAGGTTTCCTTTGGGCACCAAGCCTTCCTGCCACCGCAGGGATGCTCCCCCGCTTCGGGCTGGAGCAGGAGTGGGGAAAGGCATCAGAAGTAGGAGGGAGGCACAATGGGCGTTTTGAGCACTTCTGTTTGGTGCAGAGACGGGATGCCCTCCCACCACCCCCAGGCCCGTGGAAGCAGGGCAGTCCCGCTCCACCCAGCCCCCCCACCCCCCATCTGAAGACAAAGTACAGACGTACAAAGGGAGGAAGAGGGATGAGTGATGGGTGATATGACACAGCTCTCCTGAACAGCTGCTTAGAACAACACTCCCGCTACAACCAGGAAATCCAGATTCCAAAGGAGTTCGGTTTTTCATTTTAATGAGGCCTGCTTAACTTTCCTCCACGACCATGACTATGTCCCAGGGCTGCACCGGGGCCGCACGCCATTCCCCTTTGTGGGAAAGGGCGCTCTGAGGCCCAGCGCTGACGGGCACTGGCCCCACCGTCCGTGTGCCCCGGGCTCCAATGAAAGGGCTGGTGAATCCGGCCGGCTGTGTCAATTTCGAAGACCCAGATAGAAAGTATTTTAAATATTCAGGTGGTTACAGCTGAGACACTGGGGAAATTCAAGCTGCCGAACTAGCTATCCTGCGTGTGTGAGAGCCGCCTACAGCACCGAATGGAAACAGCATAGCCTAGGGGACCGCTGAGAGGAGAGTGGCCAAGGGCGGGAACAGGTGGCGATCACCGGGCCAGAGACTCCAGCTCATGCTGATTTTTACTTTACAGATAAAAGAGTCTCTAGTCTGAAATCAGAGGTGGGATAAATCTGTGATGTTCAGCTACGTGAAGGGGCTTGTTTTGTTTTCAAGATACAGAAGCATTAACTCTGAGTCGCCCAGATGGCCTGCTCGGTTCTGGCTTCGAGAGAAGCTCGGCCTGGGGCCCCGGATAGCCGTCTTTTACGCATTTAGGGACCCCTACGCTTAAACATTTATCCCAAAACACTTAGGCTGATGCAGGTGAATCAACAGGATGTCTCGGCATGCCAAGGTTGCACAAAATCAGTAAGAATTAGGACCATTTTCAAGTCATCTGTGCAAACTAGCCAAGGGTTTTGACTGATTCAATGAAAAGAGCGGGGCTCCTGGGTGGCTCAGTCGGTTAAGCATCCAACTCTTGATTTCCACTCAGGTCATGGTCTCCGGGTGGTGAGATCGAGCCCCGCATCGGGCTCTGTGCTTAGCGCGGAGTCTGCTTGTCCCTCGCTCCCTGCCCCTCCCCCACACCGCTCCTGCACGCGCACTCTCTCAAATAAATAAAATCTTTAAAAAAAAGGCAAGAGAGCCGGCCAGGTGCCCCCGGATTAAGGAAGGCACTTGCTGACCTTGGGGCGCCTGGGTGACTCAGTTGGTTAAGCGACTGCCTTCGGCTCAGGTCATGGTCCTGGAGTCCCTGGATCGAGTCCCACATCGGACTCCCTGCTCGGCAGGGAGTCTGCTTCTCCCTCTGACCCTCCTCCCTCTCATGCTCTCTGTCTTTCATTCTCTCTGTCTCAAATAAATAAATAAAATCTTTAAAAAAAAAAAAAAGGAAGGCACTTGCTGACCAGGTGCCGCAGGTAAGTGCTGAATCCCTAAACTGCACCTTTGAAACTAACACTACACTGTATGCTAACCAGAATTTAAATAAAAATTTAAGGGAAATGAGTCAGGTATAGCACAGAGAAGAGTCCAAAAGTTGAGGACAGGGAATGTGAGGCGAGGGAACCTGCACAGTTTATACTTCTATTTTCTGTGTATTATTACAGTGTTTTGACATCTGAGAGCCCTTTTGGCTGGGGAGAGCCTGGCAGGCCACTTCCCAGAGGCAGCCAGGGGCCCAGCTGGGGCTCGCCAGTAACATGCCAACCGACCCATCCAGAGCCAACCCTCCTGTCTGCTCTGCACGCCCAGAAGCCAACATTCCTCTGCCTTAAACATCCCAGGGCTGGGCACCGGCCCACCAGGGACCACCCCTCCAGCTTGGAGGCTGCGGAAATAATTCAAGCTGGACACCCTGTCCTGCCCTGGCTCTCCTTTGGAAAGCCCAGAAAAGGCTCTGGCCTAGGCTCTCACCTCGTTCCAGCCACTTCTGCCTCCTGACCACCCTGGGGCTTCCCCACGGGGCACTGCAAGCATGAAGTGCCTCCCATGTCATTATACTCAGGTATAATGAACTTGGTTTCCTGAGCCTCTCCTGTGTCTCCTCTTGCGGCTGCACCTGACGGAGCAGCTCATTCAAGAACACAGACCAGAGCCTGCTTGTGTGACACATCGATCATGGGCCAAGCCCGGGAGGAACCTGCATGCACCACACTAAACTGAGCCCACTCTGCTCTCAAGCAATTCCCACTGGGAGGACGGGCCCCGGACACAGCCTCCCCCAGCCTCCCCCTCTCCCCCCTCCCCCGTGCTTACGGAGGGTCAGTACTGCACCAAAGGAAAAGACTGGCTCTTTTATTCCAAATAATAAACAGTTCATAGCCTTAAGGATTTTTTGAGTAGAGAATAAAAATGTTTGATATCACACACTAGAAAGAAACTTAATAACTTACCAAAAAACTTTAAAATTCACACGCCTGATTTCCAGAGAAATGGCTCATCCATCTCCTTTATTACAATGTTTTCTAGCTTTGCAGCCAGCACGACACCGTAGGGCTTACAGTGATTGGGATCATCGTGCCAGCATACACAAGTACAGACCAAGTGCTGTAAATTAAATATATTTAAAGCGGTGATCTCAACCTAGAAGTGAAAAGGGAGTTTCCCTGTGAAGGTGTAATCATTTGTCCATGTACCAGGTATGTGTGTTTCCCCTCGTCACACGGGATGATCATCTGATGATGCCATGTGGAGGGACTCATCTCCACAGGGCAACTGTGAAATGTGTGGTCCAGACGCAGCATGACCACAAGGTTACTGGGTAGTAAGTGTGTAAGTACAGAAAAACCAGCTGATAGATGCATGAGTGCAGCCACGTACAAATCTCATTTTCGGAAGCCACAAGGCAGGTGCGAATGTCACAGCCCCTCCAGGGGTCACACGCTGGAGGGGACACACATCTGAGCGTGTCACCTCCTGGAGGGCATGCTCTGTTTCGGAGTGCAGCGGTGCGGAGGTGTAAGGTATGTCAAAACTAGGAATGCAGGGTTGCAAGCTCTCCGACGTCCACGTGGAGAGTGACTGCCGCTGGTCGTCCTGATGAAGGGTACGCAGGATGGCACGACGTGGGACACACCACCCCTCCTCAAAGCCGGATCCTCCCCAGTGCAGGGGACAAACTGTGTCAGCCTCTGCAGGCATGTGACCTTATGCTTAGTTCACAACACTTCAAGTTCACCCCGAAATACCCTCATGACAGAATTAATGCAGCCTCTAAAAGTCACTAATGAACAAGCCCAGAGTAGTTAAGGCAGAACTATTTTTAATTATTTTTAATGCCTCCAAAAGGGAGTCTGTGCATGCACGTTCCGATTCTAGGCAAGTCTGTGACCGACAACACACGTATGTTTGCCTTTCTCCGTCGCGCCAGGCGGACAGTTCCGTGAAGGCACCCCTCACTAACGGAGCCCAGCAGCTGCAAGGAAGGCAACACCTCTGGATTTTCTTTCACAGAAAGAGTAAAATTTCATTCAACTGTTGCAGGTTCTGACTCTAACAAGGCGATTTAAATAGGAAAGCATTTGCAATCATTGGAGTAAAACACTCTTTAAAAAAATAATACTTCAAAAAGTAAAGCAAAATCTTTTACCAAAATAGTTCTTTCACTTTTCAAATTATTCTCTCCAGAAGCCAATTTTATAAACAAGGAAAGGAATCATCTTCTGCCAACGTAAAGAATGTCACTCGAATTATTACTTATCCACTTGCCCTTAACTCGAGCAGGAAAAGCGAAGGAAAATAAAAAGTATTACCCATAAGCTCCAAAAGAAGGTCAGTGTTATGAGATATACAGAATAAGGCTCTTTGGATAGTCTAACATCTCTATCGTTTTAATGTATTCATGACAGTTATAATAGAAAGACTATGGCTAAAATGCTCATAACAATAACCCAATCAGAGTACAGTAATAAATAAGAGTATCTACAAAGAACATAACGTCTTGAAGCGATTTTCGTAAAACCACCTAGTTTCTTTCGAGAGCTCCCAAGAGAAATCGACATCACCACCACATGGCGTGAGCTCTGTTCGAACCCACGTTTACAGCACCACGTGGCTGGAGAAGGGGGCTGGCAGAGTGTGGAGCTCATTCCAATGCTGCCTAGGAATGCTTACTATAATCTGAATTTAAGGCATTGCAAAGTTAGAGAGAGCTGGACAAAGCACATTCTAAATAAAAGGCCTGCCACAGATGCATTAAGGCATAGATATTCCAGCCTTGGGCCACAAAAATGGGGGGAAATATACCAACTATCTAGGTTATCTTTAATCAAAGGAATTAAAGAATTTATGGCCTCACCATCAGCCCTGTCGGCGAATACTACAGGGAGACACCCCGGGCCGAGCCAGCACAGTGAGGGTGGAGACCCCGCAGAGGCACGTCTCGGGCCCCTCAGCACACACCACCACGGATGGAAATGGGCCCCTCCTCTACCAAAGTCCCGTGCATCTGGCGTGCCTCAACCGAACGGTCATCGGCGGGGACCCCCTGGCGGCCACCTCTGCCCAGGAACCGGTAAAGGACCGCAAGAGTGGACGGGGCAGGGCAGCGTGGCAACTGGCTTGAAGCCACCACCAAGGGATGCCTTCCCGCTCTGAGTGCACCCAACGCCTCGTCTATAAAGTACACCCTTTGTATTTCACTAAGAAATGTCCACCCCTGGGGGCCACGGGGAAGTGAGAGAAAGTCCCCTCAGATTTCTCTGCTCTTAAGCAAATGACCGCACATCAGGCTCCCGAGCTTCTGCTCTGTGGCTCCCAAAACCTGTCCTTTAATCGGGGGTGCTGGTCTTCACATGATGTCAGGAGGTTGCTTGCAACATTTTATGCTGAGGAAGAATGAACATCCTGGTTTTCAAAAGGTGGCAGTGGCTCTCTCCAAAAGGTGAAATTACTGAAGGTATCTGAGCAGGGGAAGTCTGAAGAATGGCTTCTTTTCAGCAATGGGAAAACGTGGTCAACCACTTCGCAGAGTCTCACGTAGCTGGAGGGAGAATGGACAACGTCATTGCCTCCAAGGGACCCCCGGCCAGGTCCCCTGCGCTGTGCCTGGAAGCTAGGAGAGATCCACAGCCCCGGGGAACAGACCACCCTGCTTAACACACTGGCAGTTGTTCTAGAATAGTTCCTTGCTAATTAACAGGAAATCAACGAGTGTGCCAAGCAGGACTCACAGAAGGCCCCACGGGCAAGCGGGTGAAACCTGACTTTGCTTGAAAGACCGAAGAAGGGGGACAAGCGGGAGTTGGGGGATGGGAGGAAATCAGCGTGGCAGCGGATGTCCAAGCCTGGGGGGAGGAATCACAGATAAAGCCTCAGAGACTGCTCCACTGTGCAAGGAGATGACCCTGGGCCTTGGGCTAAGGAGACACAGACTTGACCTTCAGCTCTGCCATTTACCAGCTGAGTGACCTTGGGCAAATGGCTTCATCCCTTCTAAGCCACAATCTCCTCAACTGTAAAGGAAAGGAAAAGAAAACTGACCCTGTGTCCCCATGAGAGTTAAATAGAATAACATATGTGACAATAAAATAACTCATATTCGGTGCTCAGTGAATTTATTCAACATCCATTATTAACGTTAGCCCTCACTAATTATTAGCCTTAGGGAAGAAGCCTTAGTTAGCACGAGGGACAAGAGACCTGGGATCCAATCCCACCAAGCTTGCTATGTAACCTTGGGCAAGTGTCTTGCCCTCTCTTGGCCTCAGGCCCTTCATCTTTATGGAATATGGAGTTGGACTAGATGGGTGTTTCTCAACGTTCCCCGCAATATTCTCTCCCTCCATTTTCTGTGTATTCCCAAGATGTTGTGTCTTCGTCTCTTTGGCCTATACTACAAAAAGAAAGTTGCTGTACTGAACATGCATTTTCAGACCTTTGGGCGCCTCCAACGAGAAATTTTGACAAGCCCAGGCCTCTCCACATGTCCCCAGAGTCCTCCCTGACAGCCACGGGGTCCCTCTCCAGTTCCAATTTGCTAAAAACCAAAAAGGGCTTTCGAAACAAACTCCAGGAATTAGCATGTTCTGAGGCATCAAATACCTTATTAACTAAGGATGAGAGTGTGTATTTAATAAAGGACCCTCAAAGGGCTTATGAGGAACATCGTGCTTGCACAGAATGGGGAAAATCTCCCCTAACAAGCAAGAATTACGTCTTTCCTGGGGATTAAAACAAATTTTTAAAGTACCTCCTGGCCTGAAGACCTATTTCTTTGAGTTCTGTGGCTGTGGGACGCGGCCCCTCCCCATGGGGAACAGTTCATGGCGCGTCGTCAGGGTGTGCGGCAGGCACCAGATCCAAACTGCTGAGTGCTCTGGGTGCTGGCCAGGCCCCATCTGCACCCCTCTCGCACACAGGCCCTTGGGAGCAAACAGAGCTCCCACACAGACAGTCACAAACCACGGTAGTGAGCGCTGACACTCCCCGTCCGCCCGGGCCCCCTATCCATCTGATTTCTCAGACACAGTGTCCCAGGATCCGAATTGACCATCCCAAGTTTGGTGCCAGAGAGAGCGTGTGCTCTCCAGGGGACGGGGGCACTCCCCCCCCAGGAAGGTCCTCGTGTCCTGGCCCAGCATGAGATGACGAGGCGCCAAGTTCCTCCCACACAGAGATCCACCCCGAGCCGAGGCGCCTGAACCCCAGAGTCTCAGGAATGAGATAACCCCACAGGGCTCCGGGGTAAACCCTCACGGGGGCTGGGACCCCTCCTGCCACATCCCTTGTGACAGACCTGCCACCGGGTTGCTGCCATTTCTGGGCAGTGTCTCATCAGTTCAGGTGCTTTCTGACCCTGAAGAGAGTTCTCTTCGACCTTCCCCCGACCAGGAAACCCTTTCACATGGGAGGGTGCTGCGCTGGGGAATGCGGGAGAGCGGGCCCCCGATGCCATTGGGGCCGGGGTAAGGAAGGAATCCGTCCCTGCTGTTGTTCCGCCAGCCCGGAGGGGGCCCGGCACTGCCTCCTGTTCTGAAGGATGGAGGAGGCTCTTGGCTCCATCCTCCTCTCTCTCCCCGCATATCTTGAGAACTGCTTAGGAACAGGCATGACTGGGGGAAGGAGGTGTGTGGGGCGGGCCCCAGGGCCCCCTCCAGCCTACAACCGCCCTCATTTAGGCTAAAGTAAGCTTGAACGGGCATAAGGATCATCTTGGAAGTGAAAATGGGCTCTAGGAGGAACCTAAATCTCTCACCTACCTAAAACGCCCGGTGGGCAACACTCACCAACACAAGGCCTGAGAAAATGCTCTCCACTCTCACAAGTTAGGACCCAGAGCGAAGCACACCCAAGTCAAGGGAGATTCTACAGCCGGCCAGGCTGCCTCATTTCAGACAGGAGCCCAATTCAGCCCACTGCCCAGGGAGCCTCGGCTCCAACCACAAGTATGAGAGGAATTCTGACGATTTCTGGTGAGAGCGGTGTGGCAGGTCAGTGTGTGAAGGCACACAGAGTTTCTCGTCCATAAATACAGCTTCACATGATATTTCAATTCGATTACATTTCCAATTTGCACACTAAGCTTTCAGTCCTGACTTGGCAAATCGAAACCACTAGTTTTGAAATTCATTCAATTCCACTCAGTAGCAGAACCTAACCACTGGTTTAAATTGTTGACTCGGAGGGGGCCTGATTTAATGCAGATTGTCCAAAAATTAAGTTTTGGACAAACTACCAGGAGTTAAACTATATTCTCTTTGTAGGAATTAAAAATGAAAATATAGGCAACAAAAAGGCAGAGTGTAAACTGTAAAACATCTTTCCAAGATCGAGACTCCTAACAACGTAAGGACACAGCAATCCCACAGAACGTGCACAGTACTCACGAGGAGATGTTGGTCTTTGCGTGTTCCTGTACAAGTTCTCCTTTGGGATTGACAGTAAATATTCTGTTCAAAGACACTCCTACTTGCTTATATGAATACACATCCTATATTTGGGAAAGTATAAATTAGGGGAAAAAAAAGCGCATTATAAACACAAATACGGGTATTTCAGATTTGATGCAATATTATAAAATTTTCATTAACCAGAACTCTACTTCCAAGTAGTGCAGAGAAAAAAGTATGTCTGGATGTGAAATTATTAAATCAGTTCCCCCCTCAGGGCCTCCGTGCGTTCATCCGTTCAAGAGCTGAGCTAATGAGTAAACAACCTACCACATCCCCCTGCAATTCTTACACCCCTTAAGGCTATTCTCTGACCCACTTTTTCAGGCATGAGTTTCAAAAGGGGAATTTTCTTACTGGGAAGTTAGTACCCAACTATATTATCCAGAATGCTAAACTCTCCCACAAATTTGGGTAGTACACATAAAATCTCAAAGCACTTCTTTTACCATATGCAACAATGCTCTGAAAACTTGCGATGCCAAATTTCACCATGGTGCTAAGGCCTGGCTTTGCGGTTCCCTTCTGGTAGAAAGGGTCTAATCCTTTCGTTCTTGTTCTACTAAACTGGCAAGTGATTTGGAATTTGAAGTTTCTAGTCCCACATTTCAAGCTTTAGACTGAAACCCACCAGCCAATCTTCAAAGAAAACTAGAGGCCATGAGATAATTGAAAATCTCCTTACAGCTATTTCTAGCAAGATGGGAATCTGGCTCCCCATGGAGTCGAGACCCACCTTTCAGATGACTGCTGTCAGAAAAGGCGGTAATTTCAAGAGCTCTTTTATATACCCAATCTACTACTTACAGCCGGTCGGTTTCCAAAAGCAGCATAAAAGGGCTCTGTGTTTGGAAAAAACAGGTTTTTGATGTCTGTCAAACACTGGACTTTAAACTTCTCTGGCTTCTTCTCAATCACTTCTCTGTTAAAACAAATAAATAAATAATGGATCAGCTTGAGAGAAGAAGCTTCATTATCATCAAACTATTTCTAAATTCACAGAGGGTAAATCCATACTTTCAAGTCTTCCCACAAAGAAAATGCTAAAGACAAGTAATTTTACTAAAGACCTCCACCAGTCACCCAAGCAACAAAGAATTCCAGACGTAGGAGAAGAGAGAACATCTCCAAACTCGTTTTATGAGGCTAACGTAGCCTCAAAAACAAAACTGAAAGAAGAAAAGCATAAGCAAAGTGTGGGCCAATCTCATTCATGAATGGCAGTGCAAACATCCTAAATAAATATGCATATGCAAACTGACTGCAGCAGCAAAGCACAGAAGTATTATTCCAGGAATGCAAGAGCAATTCAATACTTTAAACCAATGAATGTAGTCTAACCCATTAACAGATTGAAGGAGGAGAAAACATACCATATTAATAGACACAGACAGGGTGTTTGGTACAATTCAACATCTCATCAAGATGAAAAATCTTAAACCCGGAATAGCAGGGCATACTCTAAACCCACAGCGAACGCCCAGTTAACAGTGAAACAACAGGTAGCCGTTACCACCAATTCAACCCAACACTGTGTGGCGGGTCCTCCCTGGCACGGTGACGGAAGGAAGACATAGTTACGAGGATTGGAAAGGAAGGAAAGAGAACTGTCGCTATTCACAAAAAAAAAAAAAAAAAAAAAAGAACCACATTACTGCAGACCAGATGGGAACATTCCACATGACCAAACCAATCAATCACCTCTTGAGAAACACCTTCAAACTTAAAAAAAAAAAAAAAAAAAATACATTAAAAAAAGAGAATCTACAGATGAATAATCATCATTAATAAGAGATCAATAAGATTGCTGGCTATAAAATCAGTGTACAAAAAAAATTAATGAACAAAAATCAACTGCACTTTCATGCATCAGAAGAAACAAACAGGTAAAAATGTAATTCCGTAAATAGAAATTTAAAATTTAAAATGTCTAGGAATAAACCTAATAGAAGATATGCCAGACTTTTATGGTTAAAATTATAAGCTTTATTGAAATACATTAGGGAAGACCTAAATGAAAAAATACACCATATAGGTGAATTGGAAGACTCAGTATTACAAGGAGATACTGACTCTCCCTAAACTGATGTACAGATTCATTGTAATTTCAATCAACCTCTCGACAGGATTTTGTCTGTATGTCTTTATAAAACTTGATCGTCACAATTACACAAGAAGAGCAAAGGCCAGAAACCAAATCACACATTTATGGACACTTGATTTATGAGCACAATGACAGCTCAAAGCAAGAGGAAATGGGCCATCATTTCACCAAATGATGGTGGGACAACTGAACATCCCTAGAAGGGAAACCAAAAAAAGAGAGAAAATGGGCCTCTCCTGCACTTAATATGCAACAATCAATTCCTGGTGGATTACACACTCAAACATGAAAGGCAACACCTTTGGATAAAATAATAGGAGCCTCTCTTCCTGCCCACAGCCAGCGAAGCCGTTTTTAATACACAAATAGCATAAACTACAGGGGAAATGATATGTTCAAGCACATGAAAAGAAGAATTTATGTTCATCACAAGCCATAAACTGGGGAAGGCTCTTTGCAACGCTCTTAAGAAAGGTTACATATATAGAATCCATCACACACATATCAAAAAGAAAATTGGGAAAACACTTGAGCAGGCACTTCACAGAAGATGAAGCCCAAATGGCCCCATAAAGGTACGAAGAGAGACATTTCACACCCACCGGACTAGCAAAAATGTAAATGGCTGACAACGTGTTGGCAAGAAAGCAGAACAAGGGGAGTGCTTACACCCCACTGTCAGTGCATAAATTGGTTCAACTACTTTGGAAAGCAGTTCGGAATGACCTAATGATGCTGAATATGTGCATCCTCTATGGCCAGCAATTCCAATCCTAAGTGTGTACCTTGGAGTACCTAGTGCCCCTGTCCCCCAGTGCAGACACACAAGAAACTGCTTTTAACGGTAAAATCCTGGAAATGACCCAAGCGTCCATCAGCAGTAGGATGGATAAACTGTGGTCGTCCTACAACAGGATACCACACAGAAGTAAAAGCAATGAGTCACAACTCTACTCAACAGTCATGGGAACATAATGTTGAGCGAGAAAAGCAAGCTCCAGAAGAACATATGATATGTTTACGTGAAGGCCACACATGCGCACAATTAAGCATATTGGTCAGGATCACAAATATACGCGATAGAACTGTTCCAAAAAGCAGGGAATGATTAACACAAGATTCAGGGAGAGTGGCTACTGTCACTACTCGGTGAGGAGGGATGGGAGGGTCTAGGACTTCAAAGGGAACGGTCTGACCTTCTGCTTTAGCTGGATGGTAGTAGGTACACTGCTGTTCACTATTTGATTATCATTTATACCTTGCATGTATTTTAGAAATATCCTTCTGTGCCTACTCAAAATGTAATTTAGATGATGATGATGGTGGTGGTGGTGGTGGTAAACTATCAACCTGAGTATCACAAGACCCCAGGGCTGGTCCTGGCTCTGCAGGGACTTCCGTGGACTCCGGAGCCTTCCCTAAATGTAACACTAAAAGGGTTTTACATTCTGTATCTCAGGACCCTATGGCTGACTGTGATTGAGTCTCAAACTTCAATCCACTCAGGGGAAACCATCCAAATTCAGCTTCCTGCTCCAATCTCAATTTCTATCTCACACACACACACACACACACACACACACACAAGCACATGCCCCGGGCACGAGTGTGTGAGTGTGTGGCAGGCGGGGAGGAGGATGTCTGCGTGAGTATAGAGCGCAGTGGCCAGTAAAAGACGACCCGTGGCCCCGTGGCCCCGTGCAAGGCTCCTTGTGGGCAGTAAGGTACGCTGGGAGGAAGCAGTGCGGACTGCTGACAAGTACTGAGGTGAGCATCCAGATTGCTCCTTGGCACAGCCTAGGTCTTCGGTGATCTGAATGTGCAAATAATCCCTGGTCCTAACTCACCCTTGAGGTAATTTTACTCCAGCGAACAACAAAATGTCATTTATCCAAGTCTCAGAGCACCTCAGAAAATGCCAAAGGGAAAAACGTGGTTACTTGTGAAACAGCTTCTTCCTTCTCAGAGCTGGAGGCTCTGTTGTTGCCAAACTCCGGAATTTCACATCTGCCCAGTAACCCAGTCTTGGGGCTCAGCAAAGGCGAGTTGCCTGTTGTCAGTGAGCCCCCCCACCCCCCGCTATGAGACTGAGCCACACGTATCAGCAAAGTGTGCTGTACTCACAGAGGCTTTGTGAAAACGATCTGAATTGCCCTGCCGCTGAAACACAAGAGGGCAGGTAACGAAAACTCAAAGCCAATTTCCACTTTAAAAGGAGAAGCTCCTGGACCAAAAGATGAGGTGTGGGAAAAACATTCCCTCAACTTCTCTGACATGACATGTTTCTTAGAATCATAGCATTTCAGGGCTGAAAGGTGACACCTGAGATCGCATTCAGCAGCTGAGGACACAGACTCAGGACAGGGAGGCACCGGCTGGTCACACCACCAGCCAGTCGCCAAGCAGAGCCTGGGGCTCCCCGTCCCCACCTGCCGACTGGGTTCCGCCCACCATGTGGATCCGCCTTCATTCCAGTTGAGACCCAGGCAGTATCATCAGAAGTGCACCCAATGAAAGCATCTTGCTAGGGAAGGTCATTCTGGCTCATGGCAGACATGCCCATCAATTCTAGAAGCTCTGCAGGACGGCTGACACAGAGAACGGCTCGGGCTAGAATGTGGTGCTGGAAGGACCAGGCTGTTGGCCGTATCTGTCAGGAGCCCCTCCAGCTCCGAGAGGGAACACACACTTGGAGGAGTCCTTGTTTGGTTTAGTGATTCCTCACTGTCTAAGATCGATCACTTTTGATCGATCTTGGACAGTGGTATTTAAATAAGAAAAAAGTGAAAAAGATCACCTTAAATGTGTATTTAGTGGTCGGGTATTAAAGTAATAATGTCAACGTTTGCCTCACCTTGCAAATCCGCAGTACTTAACACGTGACAGTGAGTCGCTTGCTACAAACGGTCGACATACATCAGGGACCCCATTTCATTACCATCCAGATTCTACGGAGGCCTACGCTGTCAGGACAGCTCTAGGGATTTAAAACACACTATGGCATCCAGAGGTTTGCCTGAATTTCCTCCACAGAATGCGCAAGTTTCAGTGTGAGATCTTTTACCACAAGAAAAAAATTACAAATCACACAAAACAAAGCTGCGATGGAAAAGGTATCTGCAAAGCTGAGGAAAAACACCTAAGAGGAACCAACATGGTGCTTGGGGTCCATCTGGATTTTTCTGCTGTCTGCATGGTGAGCAGCAGGAAGCAGGTAAGCTGGTCCTCAAATTGAGGCAGAGCCTCTCGCTGGGTCTTGAAGACAGAACTATCTGATACTTAGAACCAGCCTTTGGCAGAACCAACGTCCTGTTATGACCACAATAGATGATGCTTTGAGAGGAGCCTGGGAAGCTGCCCTGGGCCTCAGGGTACAGGGAAGCCCTGTCTTCTCCTCTCCCACCCCAGGGGGGCCAGACTTAGTTTGGCTCAACTTCTCTGAATGAGGCTGTGATGGTGAAGAGAGGGGGGTAATCAGACATTGGCTAGTGATCATCAGAGGACCAGTAAACCAAACCACGGGGGGGCGCCAGGGGGCTCAGCCAGTTAAGCGTCTGCCTTCAACTCAGGTCATGATCTCAGGGTCCTGAGATCGAGCCCCACATTGGGCTCCCTGCTCAGCGGAGAGCCTGCTTCTCCCTCTCCCTCTGCCCCTCCCCTCCACTCCTGCTCTCTCACTCTCTCTCAAATAAATAAATAAAATCTTTAAAAACAACAACAACAACAACAACAAAATGTGTGAGCACAACTCCCAGAAAGGACAACTCCTCTGGGAGCCAAGGGCCAGGTAGGTGGTGGTGGCAGGTAGAGGGGCCACTTAACCCAGCCCAGGTCCCCGATTAGACGGAATGCAAGTTGATTCTCAGAATCACTAGGACTCAGCCCGGCCACGCCAGCGGGGCAGCCGCCCTCTAAGGGAGGACAGCAGGTGCACAGGCTTGTAGTAGAAACACTGTTCTGGAAAAACGGGGGCAGTTCAGCGTGACTGAGTTTTAAGAACTGCAAAGGAGGGCAGGGGGAAGTCAGGAAGAGTCACGTGAGCCGAGCGAATGAATCTGGACTTGATCCCGAGAGCCGTGATGAGCTAATGAAGGGTGAGGCCAGGGGGACAGAGCCAGACCTGCATTTTAGGGTGACCTTCCTGATGCCCACTGTGGGGCAGGGATACGGGTTGCAGCAGAGCGGTTGAGAGGCTCTTCTCGCCAACACTTCCCGGGGAGGAGGCGAGGGGGCCTGGACGGGCCCGCAGCTCTGGGGCGGGAGGTGGCTGAGCCGAGCGCCATACCTGTGCAAGGCCGAAAAGAGACTGCTTGGGCTCAGGAGCAGGGGCCCCTGAGGCAGCACCGTGCCCCTCTCGTTGACCCAGTGCAGGTAGCCCCTCGTCATGTCGGCCATCCCGATGGCCCGCGCAGAACAGTAGAGAAATTTATAGCCATTTCTGAAAAAGAGACAAAGCATTCGCATGTCATGGCATCACACCACAGAACGGTTCTGCGTTCACAAACCCTAACCCGAATGTTTCACACGGAATGACACTGCTGCAAGCTTCCCTCCCCAGCCGAAGGCCACATTCTAGAAATATTCTTTTGCATTGAGAACAAAGCCTGAATGCATTTCACGGTCCCTTACTAAGCACTTTCGCTTCCCTCACTTGCTTTAATCCTTTCGAGAACTTTGTTCCGGTAGGTATTTTCCCTCCTCTTCACTGCTAGGGAAACTGAGGCTCTGTGCCAACTGGCCAACCTGCCTGTACCCACCGAAGGATTTCCCTCTCTCCGGACCAAATCCCATCCCCCCGTTCCCTTGGCAGCAAAACTCCTTCAAAGGGCTGTGTATCTGCACTCACTGCACATCTCACCCCGGCAACCCACTCCAAGCACACTCGTTCCCCTGCCTCGCTGGCCCCGTAGGTCCCTGCGATGCCACAGTTCTCATATGGACAGACTGCCTGGCCGCACCCCTTCCTCTGGAACACCTCCGTCCCTCGGCTTCCCACACAGGTCCCCTGGCTCTGTCTCCAACCAGGCTCCACGTGCACAATCCTGGGGTCCTGGGGGCACTGTCCTCCTCAGCACCTAGCTCCCTAGGGGATCACACCCACTCCCCGAAGGCTCTAAATGCCACACCCAAGCCAAAGCGGTATACAATACTGATGATGTTGTGATATAATACAGATGTATGTGCTCTTCATCTCGGATCCCAGCATAGAGCTTCTAAGCCCTTGTAACAAGCCGTATATTATTCGAAAAAAGCCCCTCCCTCCAACCTGAGTTTATGCTACTGAGGTGGTCCTTGGAGGGCGGGGCTGGTTGCCATAGGAACCAACCATGCAATCAGAGTGTTGGTACTTTCAGCCCCACCACCACACACACACACACACACACACACACACAAATCCTGGGAAAGAGAGAGGGGCTGGAAGTTGAACTCAATCACCAATGGCCAATGATTTGATCAATCATGCCTACATAATGAACCTCCACAAAAACCCTAAATAATGGGGTTCAGGGTTCAGAAAGGTAGGGGAATGCATCCATGTGCTAAGACACACCCCAACCCCATGGAGGGGAGACCCTTCCAGACCTCACCTCATGTACCTCTTCATCTGGCTGTTCATTTGTAGCCTTTAGAATAAACCGGAGTGTTTGCCTAAGTTCTGTGAGTCATTATAGCAAATTATTAAACCTGACGAGGGGTTGTGGGGACCCCTGATTTGAAGCCAAGGAGGGCAAAAGTGGGGATAAGCCAGGGACCTCCTACTTACAGCTGGTGTCTAAAATGGGAGCTGTCTTGTGGGCCTGAGCCCCTAACCTGTAGGGTCTATCCTACCTCCGGGTAGTTGGGGTCAGACCTGGATTGAATTGTTGAGACACCCAGGTGGTCTCTACAGAGAATTTCAGAATTGCTCCGTGTGACAGCCCCATGCGTTGGGTGTCCTCAGTGTTGGGAGTGAAAAAGAGATCACAGGATTATTCTTCTGTTAAACACAACTTTACTACTTTATTAGGACTTCATTTCACTTTTTTTAACCCCTGAAAGCTTAGTGTCCAAAATGAGATGTCCTGTTAATATAAAATACATACCATGTTTCAGAGGCCTACTATAAAAACAGAATAGAAGATCTATCCCATTAAGAATTTCTATATTGATTACATGTTTAGATAGTAATAGTCTCCCTATATTGAACTAAATAAAACACACTTAACATTTTTAAACACCATCTATACATGGCTGTCTCCTGAATTTATACTTCCAGTCCAGGCCCCTCTCTTAATCTCCAGGCCATCACATGCAGCTGCAAACCCCCCATTACTCACGGGGTACAGGACAGTACCCTCCATGTGACGTGCCCACAGCCAAACATGCGCAGGTGCTCCTGCCGCGACCTCCCCACTCAGCACGCGGCACTCTCTCGCTGGCCCAGGTGTGAGGCCAAACCTCAGGACCACCTGGGTTTCTACTTCTCCTCACAACCACCCCCCCAGCCCCCCACACATCAGCAGGCCCCCTCATTCCACCCCAACAAGGACCCCAAACCACCCTCCAAGTCCCCTGTCGCCGCCACAGTCCTCGTCCACACCTCTGGGACAGGGCCTCCTGTCCTACTCTCCTCCCACAGCAGCCTAAATCAGCTCCCGGCCCCCCACATCACGTGTGCACACAGAAGGAAAACTCAAAACCCACTCCCATCATGCTCAAAACCCTTCAGAATCTTGTTATGTCCCCCAGATATAATCCAAATTTTTTGCCATGACCTACAGGGCTGGCGAGACCTGGTCCCCGCCCCTCTCTCCAATCCGATCTGCTCCGTCACTCCCGCTTACCAGAAGGTGCCCCTGCCAGTCCTGTGAGGCACCATGCTCATTCCTGCGCTGGGCAGCTGCATGTGTTGTTCCTCCCGCCTGGAACACTGTTCCCCACACCTCAGGCTCGCTCCCTCCTTCCCCTCACATCACCTCCCCAGAGGACCCCTCCCTTGCCCCTCTATTTAATAAAACACACCCTTCGCTTACCCTCACTCCAGACACTGAATCTCTGCTCTGCTTTATTTTTCCTAATGGCACTCGTCACTAATATTAGAGAATAGTTCCTTGTTTGACAGTATCTCCCATGAATCCATAAGACCCCCGAGGGCAGGGACTTTGTCTCATTCCTTGCTGTAACCCCAGCGCCAAAAACAGTGCTCAGCAAGTCACAGACACTTAGTAAATATTTGCTACATGAGCGAATACAAACTACCCACTTCCAACCCGGCTTATTGTTCCACCAAGGTCCTCGTCTCTACACTTGCTTAATAAATACATCCTTTAAAACCAGGAAACAGGAAAGTTTTAAGACGAAGAGAATCCAGAAATACCAGCTTGTTTGGAATACAGGGATGCATCTGAAAATCAAGCAACCTTTTTAAACATCTTTGTATTTTAGCTGTCTAATTAATGCAATCTTCAAAAAAAAAAAAAAACAAACCCCACTCTGTATATAGCTCTTCACATCAAAGTTCCTAAAAGCTGCCACCTGCAGGGGCTTGAGATGCTAATTTTATTCAAAACTTGATTTTCAAATACATTTCATGGTCTGATCAGGCCACTGCCTTGTTCTCACCATGCAAGTATTCTGCTTCAAAGGCCGTTGCTAAACTTGGCTGGAAAATCAGCTTGAAGACGTCCGGTGGGGTGGATGTTAATGCTTGTTGGTGGCACAGTCTTCACCCCCACGAAAGCCGTCTGTGATGCCATCAAATGCTCAACGGCACCAAGTCACCAAAGCTCACTCTCAGGTGAGCCGCTCGGGGTAAGACGCCACACTCAGAAGAGCAGGATGCGCTCCTCCTGTCAACGCACCCCCAGCGGGCGCTCCCACCCTGGGCCCAGGCTGGCCTTGGGATACGCATGCGGCCCGCCCAGCCCTGCCCTTCGGGAACAGAAGAACACATGGGGAAACCTACCCTCGACAGCAAACGTGGACTACAACACACACACGGATCACACTTACCCTCTCATATCTCAGCACCTTCAACAGGGCTTGGGAAATACCAGAGCCAGAAAGAACATTCCACGTCCAGGCTTCAAACTAACGGTTTCTCCATCTGTCCCAGCCTCTGTCTCTCTCTCTTAAAACACTTGGCCCAGGCCGGTATTAAAGTAGCTTGGAAAGATTATCTTTGGGGCTATTTGCCAAGATAAGCTTCTAGGCTGAAGTTTCCCCACTCCTGACATCTTGGACTGGATAAATAATTGTTGGGGGGCAGGGCAGAAGCCCCGACCATGCCACACTGTGAGACATCTAGCAGCAGTCCTGGCCTCTACCTGCTAGGTGACCATGACACACCCCAGGAGGACAACCAGAAACGTCTCCGGACATTGCCATGGGTCTCTGGAGGCCAAAATCGCCCTCAGTTGGCAGCACTGTTGTAGAAAAAAGGACCTCTGTAGCCCCATTTTCAGGCCTGGAGGAAGGAAAATCACCCGCTCCCTTAAGGATGGAAGGCTCTATGCCAAACTCAGACTTGTGCTCAGACCGGCCTCCAAGGCCCCCTGCCCGGAGCCTCCCTTTCATATTCACCACGCACAGGCTCAGCTCTCGGCCCCACTTCCCGTGACAAGCATGCTTCTCTTGAAACCCTGCTCGCCCAACAAGGCTCAGCTCGAGCGCCTCCTTCTCCTTGAAACCATCATGGAGTCCTCGTCCCTCCGATCAGAATTAATTTCTCCCTCACATCCATATGAGAAATCTGCATCTCACTGCGTGACCCCTCACTGCCTCGTTACAGGGGTGCCATCTGCTTCTACAGGACCCAGAGCTCCCTGGGAGAGGGGGGCCTGCAGCCCATACAGCACCCACAACAGCCCCTGGTGTGCAGGTTTGCAATCAGAGTCTGCTCAGTCCTGGGGTTCCCCCAGAGGCCTGGCTTGGTTTGCAATCAGCGTCTGCTCAGTCCTGGGGTTCTCACGGAGGCCCAGCTTCGAAAAGTTCACCCTGAGACAGCACACACCCTGGTGACCACAAGCCTGCGACCCGCGGCACCAAGCTTCTGGCCTGGCAGGGACCTCGGGGATCACAAGGCCTAATTTTCCCATCTTAGAGATGAGGAAATCAAAACTGGGAGTGGGGACAAGGTCTGCACATCCAGGGTGAACTAAGGGCTGTCACCTTGAGAACCCGGGGCCCCCGGCCCCCCAGTCACCTCAGAAGACCTCAAGTGGAGGGGAGCACAAGCGCTATGGGCAGGAGAGAAGAGATCCTACTGAGTCTGCTAATTAGGATTTCCGCTCTCAGCATCCTGGCTTCACACGGCGCCCTCTTCAGGCCACAGCATTCGTTGTCGCTACGTTGTCGCACCCACGTCGATTTTTAGTTACACCAATATAAAAATATGCATCAAGTAAGGTGCAAAATCAGAGCAATTATTGTCCAGATTTAGCCCCCAAAAGACCTACT